CTGATGCGTCGCGGCGCGTGCGTCCTCTTTGCGAACGTGCTACCAATCGCTTCTTCGCAAAATAGCCGATTCTCAAAGTATGAACGGGGACCTGATCAATTTTGTAATGAAATCGACAGGTGAACTGAACACTTGAAAAAAATGATAACAAACCGCGTTCCAAAATTGAGAACGACGCAACATTCACATCTATTCTCCGCTGGTCGTAGTTGCTAAAAAAAACTTTAAATACAGACAAGGGTACTAGTAGAATCGGTTATCGGTTGCCAGCTACCCATGAAGAACATAAATACTGTTAGTTCAGAAGAGAGTGAGGGTAGTAGGAAAGGGCACAAGTCCAAGCATCTCAAGAAATCCACGATCTCTCGTATTAAACACTAACTCTCAGTTTCCAATGGTAGCTGGCTGCTAATCCTCAATTACGAAGCAGTGTAAGCGATTTCCTTACCTTGCAAAGTAATCTTCAACGTTTGTCTCCCATTTTTTTACCATATCAGTCGTCCATGAAGGATGTCTCTCAGCACGGAATGTCAATGCGACTACAGAAACTGATTTGATTTTGCCATCTTCTTCCATCTCCACGCCGAAGAAGTTTGGCTGAATTTGCAGCATTCTTTGTATATAGTATTGTAAACGTAATAATTCATAGCTCTTTCAGCAATCGGGAATTTCACTCAAGGGTGCCCAAAAAATTTGTAGACATTTCTGGCTTCTTTTTGTGTCGACTAATTCCAAGAAAGAGCAATAGTAGTCATCAATATATGCACCTCCACGATCAGTTACTTAATTAATTAGATCAACAGTGACCTGTTGCCAACAGGTGCTGGAGTATTACGGAAAGGTATTGCGGCATCCACTTTATACCATCAACAGTGATCCGATTTTCTGAAGGCCCAACCCAGTGAGGGGAGAGCGAAATTAAGCAAATAAGCTGAAAGGGTGAAAGAGTAGAGGCCTTGGACGATGCGACAGGAGATGCCGTCGTGGCAGAGTGAGTATACCCTAGTAACGACATCAACAGGCGCTCTACGCTGGTAAGTTCTCCCATCCCATGCATCGGCAGACCGTCGTACGACTCTATATTGCACTACCCATAATGGTCTTTCCCATAGAGGTCAATTGGTCACGGAATCTTAAAGGGGCTGAGAATATTGTCGAACAGCGTGTCCACTACGTCATGGTGAGGACCACGGTAATGGCTACAGATTCGACATTCTCAGGATAAATGGTGCGAAGAGCTTTGCTACGAAAGCGTGGCATACATGCTTGTAAATACCATAAACGACAAGAACCCTCAGATGGGGAAGGAAGAGCAGAGGTGAAACTATCGATGCCTGGGGTTGGCTTTTAGAGGTGCGGTCGCGAAGTGTCTCCAAATGTACACCGACGAGGGTACCTTTCATATGTTTTATGGGCGATCATGCTTTCATTCAAGGAAACGCAGAGTCAAAGGAATCCTTCACGGAAAAATCATGATTCTATTTCAGCCATAAATACCTAGCTTGGGACGGTATCATTAGAACGAAAAGAACAGAAAAAATTGCATTTGTTTTGGGAAAAAATTCATAAAACCGGAAAGGGCTGCTACGCGTTCAAAGTACCGCCGGACATCTGTCACAAATGCTGGCGACGGAGAATGCTTCCACTTGGTTCTTGGAGTGCCGTCACTAGAAACTCTTTCTGGCCTTTTGACTTATTGCATTCACATCTCACACTTCTACTGCATCCTATTCTATCGATCGATTTGTCTCTACTCTCCGAAATCGCACGCTTTAACCCGATTCTTTCATTGCTCGCCTGATACGCAGCCAACGGAGACGTAATCTTTCAAACCCGCCTCCGGCACCCTTCGATTTTCTTTTGGAAACGAATCGTTCATGCCGCGACAACATGGCGTGCTGGTTGTAGTGATCACAATGATTACAGTGGCAATATCTGTTAGCTTAGGTTCGTAACCAAGTACAGAGATGACCGAAAGGGTTGGTTTGGTCAACTAATCCCGACCTTTGCCTTTAATGTTGTGAAAGAATGCAAGAGGATTCCTTCATAGGAAAGGAGATAAGCAAACCAGCCCGTTTGGCGCTCCTGCTGGATGCATTTGCACCACTTGCGCCGCCACTCACCTACCGTACCCGACGGCTCTTTTTAAATAATTTTTGCGTCACTAAAACAGTTTTTAAGTATTTCACTTGAACGCGGAGAGCTTTTTTCTTGCTTTGGCTTCTCTTCGCACAGACATTCGTATATTTCGTGCATATTCTCATATATCGGCAAGACGGGAATTCATCGAGGTGAGAAGGTAGTTGCCTCGCTCCACCACACTCCCGCCTGCGCGACACGCGCTGACATCCATGGCCCGGAGAGAAGCCCGACATGAGTGAGCACACAACCGTTGCAGGAAACTACTCGCAAGCGCGTGAACTTCTCCATAATTTCACGTAGCTCAGTCAGCTCTTTTCTAATTTCCTCATTTTCTTTTTCAGAGCCCTTCATCTCCTTCTCGTAACTCGACGGTGAGGTGGATGATATCTTGCCCAACACATAAAACACCCGTTCAGGAATAACATTATGAGCAAGCTTGAATTATAAAGTTAAAAGAAAAAGATAAAGAATGGAGGTAAATACATGCTGGTGTGCTGTTAGTAGGTTGTTGAGGTTAGAGAACGAAATTGTGCGTCTCTTAAGAAGAGCAAATTAAAAGGAACTACATCATCTTTCTGACATCCCACTCAAGAAGGAAAAAAGCAAGAAGCTCTCCCTTTCAATACAGTCATTTATCTATCATTTATCTTTATCATTTAGTTCTAGACAAGGTCAACCGTGACGTTTGCACTTTTTTAAAAATTTCGCGACCCCCTCTCCTATAGGCGGTCTCGATGCGAACCCCACAACCACCATGACTCAGGACCCCAATACGATACCCTCCTACCCCAACCGCCACCCTCACCATCATGACTGTCATGGCTGTTTCTATATTTGGTTCTGAGACCATCGACACAGACCCCAACTCCACCCACCTTTTCCTCCAACACAACAGTGCAGCGGTGGCAGAGGCATATTAGTCCAATGAAACGGCAACTTTTTTTTACTCTCACCTATCTTACCTCACCTGTGCGCCAATTACATCATCCACAAAATCCCTTGAAAACCTCAATCTAAATCGTTTCACCATTCGCTCAACAAATTACTAATCCCACTCAACCCCAGATTGCGACCACCCTACTCCCAATAAACAAATGCGTCCTCGTTCGAATAGTGCGAGCGCACGGTTGACCCTGCTTCTAGATCGTCTATTAGAGCACAAGTGTCAAATACGACACAACATCGACTAGTACCAGCTACACTGGATAGCTGCTCAGTGCTGGAATCCTGAAAAAAGAAGTACGTCTAGCGCAGAAACTAATATGCTTTCCCTCTAACTGTATGTGAGGAAATCAATTTACAAACGCCAACGTGAACAGTGGCGATAACTTCACACCTAATTGTAGACAGCGCTAACAGTTTCTGTTTTATATTCGGAACTCGTATTGTAGAAGTCATCAGTAGGACATTCAATTCATCCTCTACTATTTCTGAAATACCTTTCCTACTTTCGAGATTTCCGTCTTCCGATACATGATATATATACGAATTTCCATGCGAAGACAAGCCAAAGCAAGAAAAAAGCTTCCGCGTTCAAGTGAAATACTTAAAAACTGTTTTAGTGACGCAAAAATTATTTAAAAAAGAGCCGTCGGATACGGTAGGAGAGTGGCGGCGCAAAGTGGG